GCAGAGTGAAGATGTGGTCGATACAACCTCGACCGGGACTAAAACCAGCCTGGTTCTCACGCGTGCGGCAGACAATCGGCGGGGTATGATGCGAGCGAGAAGTTTAGAAGCAATGTTGATTAAACTAATTCCTCTATGATTTTCACAAGAGGATCTGTCATCTTTCTTGTCAATCGATATGATCACCGACTCGCACCATTCAGCTGGAACCTCTTCTCTTTCCCAAATTGAGCCCAGGAGTTTTGTTAACTCCGAGGCTAACGGTGAGCCTCCATCCTTAAACGCTGATGGGAACAGCCCATCTGGGCCAGAGGCTTTATGCCTTTTGAGATAACTTATTTCCCGGGAAGCCTCCATTTCAGATGGAGGATTGGCATCAACTGGCAATATTTGCCCAGTCGCGGGGGAGGGNTCTGATGGTGAATCAGTGTGCCATCGTATTCCTTAATTACCTCACTTACGCCTAATTTCATGGGACCAGTATTCCTAATTAGATGGAAAAGATTACAACTATTACCAATAGCCGCAGCCTTCTCCATCTCTCTACACTTTCCTATCCACCACTTCTCGCGATCATTCCTCAGACTGTTGATGAGCGGGCGTTTGAGGGGTTGGCGTTGTGTCAAATGTGGCATCCGGAGGAAGGGCTCTGCAGGTGTCCAGCAGGGCAACCGAGGTAGATGAAATCCATCGTTTGTGTTTTGTGCTTGAGGTAGGGTCCGACGTTGTTTTTATCGATATCTGCATGGCTTCCTTCGTTTGATAATGTAGTTTTTTTAACTTTCTCTTATAATCGATTTCCTACATTGTTAGAAGTTTAAAGCCTCGTTTTCTCTCGTTCATTGCTCAATCATTGGAGCTCATTACACAGGGTTTTAGCCAAGCCCCCTTGGTAAACTGCCAATGGTTCGCCAACCCGGTTATAGCCTCGGATGTTGGCTCTCACTTTATTGGGAAAACACCGCCATGGGAAGACATTGAGTAGGGCCTCCTCAGCAGAGGCTATTTCAGACACTTGTTTTTATTGAAGCATGTCACGACATACAGTGAAGCGAACTTCATTGATCGCTGCCAAACACGTAATGCATACAAAGTTTGTGGTAATATGTAACGTGGACAGGGATTGGACCTATTTTGAGGGAAGGGGAAGTACGTGAACCTCTATGGTCAGCACACAGAGTACACGATCTCGCTCTGCACACTTAACGTTTCAAGCATCCTGACCTGACAAGAAAAGACAAAAAGAATGCCCCTTGCCATATGCTTCAATGTCTCCAACCAACCAGTTGTGGTATCTTCTGCACCCTAAATTGGAAAGCGCGGGACACCGACTCGACCTAATGACTCTGTGCATTTCTTCATGCCTCGTCTCCACGTCATCGGTTGACCTCCACGTGGTTTCCCCTTGCCCGGAGCGGCCACAGGGAATAAAGCCCGGTGTGGCAGACGACAGTTGGGCATACGTAATATGTGCCCTAGCCAGCGAAGCCTACTAATCTGAATTTGGTGTGCCAGCAGTTTTATCTCTGATACTCTCAAACACACGACGGCTTGCAACTGTGGTATGCTAGCTCAAATCGACCACAACAGTGAGCCACTGTTGACGTGGCTCAGTGCTATTGGACCATCTGTGTGGAGTCTGACTACGCATTAGTCTTGATGCAGTTCACTCTCCGACTGACTGACCGGGGACAAAACCAGCAAACTCGGATAGCTCTTCATCGACTGTACGCTATGAGTCAGAGCTAGTGCGTGAGCTAAGCGCACTTCAACGTGATGATATAGATGAGCAATGAGATCAGATTAGGCGAGCAATGCATTCCTCAGCGAATGTTGCTTGTGTGTCTGAGCCTTAAGCCCGTCGGAGGCATTGGATGTCGCAGGATTCTGTATTTTGTATGGAGAAGAAACGAGGAATCTCGACCTGCCAGGATCAGAGCAGAGTTAAGTGACATCTACGACGTCAGCCCACGAAGAGCCTCAAGAATGACCGTGAAAACTGGTGGGCAAATATAGTTAATGAAACGGAGGTAGCAGCGGCATCAAGGAATAGTCAAAGATTGTTTTAACTGGTGAACTCCAGTTAGTGAAACAATCTGAGATGACAGCTGGTGGTGGCGCAGTGGTTTAGTGCTTTGGNGTGGTTCGGAGTTCAAGCCCCGCCACCACCACCCGACTTTGGTGGTAGGCAGCTTTATTGTTACCCGGTTCTATACCACGCCTGAGCTAGAGGGGCCTAATGTGATTCGCTACTCCAAGCCCCGGGGCTTAGGTTGCCGGTTACTACCACTGAACAGCAGGTCTTCGTGACTATGGGGTCCGCCTTGACTGTTGTTCATCACACACTGGTATGTAATAAAAAAATTAAAAAAATATTCATCGGTGAATGAGCAGATGCGAAACAAACTGAGTGGTTTCACAGGAAATGTCCTGCGAGCTTTTGCACTGGTGTAGAACACAGTAAGCTAAAAGGTAGAAGTCATGTAGACTATGAGATAAATGCACTGCACAGTCATTCCGCTGCCATCTGGGGACTTCCAGTGATGTCGAGTCAGGTGCCTCGGTCGTTTTTCTGGTTGAGACCGAATGTTAGTCATACTAATCACCGACTAATGCCTCCCATCGGTTAAAACTCATTCCTGATCACACCAGTCACGTGATATGACGACTGGGGCTAATAAATCGCTATCCTGAGCAGCGTGCAAGGAGCCTGTATTATAAATGCATGAGTGGTCGTTTCATACCAAATCTTATATTCACATTCATTCAGTTGAATCCTCTAAGAAGTTTCGATCACACTTCATGTACCGAACCCACACTCCCCTTCTTTAAATTTAGTTTCTGTCCTTTCGGTAGCTATAACATACCCACTCCTGTTTCAGGTTGGTGTTCGGACGACGGAACTTGCAGCCATATTCTTTGCGACATTTGAGAATGTCCGCGGAACGGTCATTGCCTATCAATATCCGGCTAATTATGTAACTTCTGTAAGTAAATGGTACTTTGCTTGAATGGTGAAATGTTTTCATTACATGTTACATAAATTGAAATGAACGTTTCAACTACGTATGGAAGCTTAATTCAGCCCAGAACTTCGAGCGGAAAGTTGCAGTTGTCCTCGACTGAGAGGACTTGGCAATAAACCGTCTGGTTTTAGAGTTCATCACAAACACACATCTTAGACATAATACTGTAAAAAATTATTCGATCAGAAAATGGGAACGAAAAAATGGAGTAAAACTCACAAGGATATTGTGGTGAATGAAAAAAACTGGTGGCAAAATATTAAGAGCAAACGTTTTTCATCCAAATACCCAAGGATCTGCTTCCAATAATGATCTGGAGTGTACTTATTGCACAATTGGTATTAAATAATTTTTCCTATTAAATTACCCAATAGCCCCAAGGGAATATTAAGTCGTACTGTAACAAATAGGTAAGTGAATGAGAAATGCTTATTGGAGTAACAGAAGTAAGTTTTGTCTGTCATACAGCCATATTGTCCTTTTCCTAGCCCTCCCTGAGGTAAACTCTACGTTCTAGCCAGCCGTGCATCTCAATTTTGGCCACCTGATAGTAGCCCTTGACTTCGTTCTTTCGGACCTTCCTTTCACTCTGTCAGTCTGATTGTCCTGAATGATAACTGGAACTGCAATTCTAAATCTGTTGTATATTACTGCTCACCTAGGCTCTGGTAGTACTACGCTTTCTTGTCGACAAAACTCCGTTTCAAACGTTGGAATAGTCTCACAGAACACATTGAGAACAGCAATAGCGTGACGAACAATCTCGTTTTCAGTTATTCGTAATCATTCCGTCATATAGCATTGAATATGACCATCAACAAGAAAAAGAAGAAAATGAGAAATTCGAGTCCTAATGGTTCAACTCTGGCTCCGAACGTGTGTGCATGTGTTTGTGTGAAATTGATCACAGTGTTCTTGTTAATCAAATTTGATGTTATGTAATGGCATGATTACGATAATTCCCTTTATTTGTTGAAATGCGCCTTTGGCCCCATCACGTAGCATTGCACGTGTCTGGTGGGGTAACCGGACTAGCAATGCTGAGGTTAGGCGGAGAGTTCTAGGCAGTCGCGGTCGTCCACTAGAACAAGTAATCGACCTCCATAGATTACGCTGGTTGGGACATGTGTTACGTAT